ATATATATATATATATATATATATATATATATATATATATAACCCCATAAATAAAACCCTATGCACATTTCTCACCGTATCCAACATCCTGACTTCAATATCTTCACCGTAGCAACGATAGGGTGATTTTCGGGTGCTATGCCTTGCCAAAATGCATATCTTGATTTGTTTTCGAATACAAAGTTTTCCTTCTTCTAGATTGGTTGCCAACCGCAGCTATAAATTGAATTCTGCTTTACTGTTCAAGCCAGCAGAAGGGGATTGAAAGTATAGAGTTATGCGTTTCCAATGGATATTTATGCGTAAGTAAATGTAACAAACCCGACTGGAATTCGAACACGACTCTCCGATTTCATATTCCGAGTAGCTACCCATTAAACCAACCGCACATCTAAACAGGCTAGACCGGAATTTAAACGATGCATAAAATTCGACCTCATATCATGGATACGTCAGGTAAATCATTTTTTTTTTCATCTGGGTATCATTCATACGGGTACGTAAGTTTAGGGTATGTTTGAAGATTAATAATCTAGATACCCGAATCTTTCACTCTTCAAAGTCTTTAGATATGAAGAAGGATTTTATCTGGCATATAAAGTTGTACGGTAGCTTTCTTTCCGCCATTTTCTTTTTCAGTGATCCCGTATTATTACTTAGGAATGAAATAAAGGAAAATGGAGCCAAATAAGCGAGTAAAATCTATCGCATATCCGCGTTTTATCATTGTTATTATTCTTTTTACCTTCATTCGTTTTGTCAAGGCCAGGAGACATCTTCCCGACTTAATCAGTTTTCTGTATTCTCGTATTCAACGTCACGGGACATTATCGATGAGAATTTGATAGAAAGCACTTTGAATGACGTCTAATTATATATCTGAATATTTCGAAGAGAAAAGGCAGACAGCAAAATCAGCCATTAATATCCACCATCTCTCTTTCTCTATCTCTCCTAGTTTATCATTTATTTCTCTTCTTGTGTGACATCGTTCTACAAAACGTTAATATGGCTGACATATGGCGATAACCTTAACTAGCTCTGATATTTCCTGTCATTTCATGTGACAAGACAGATGAATGGTGAGTCTCCATTATCCTCCAAGAAACACAGATGATAAAAAGCCAAAGACTAGCTTATGTAATTCCAGAATCATGTTCACTTTTAAAACGGACAAAAGTGTTTAACCATACCATCCTTGTCTATTTTTGATACATAATCAATTAAACGTTATACATTGATTCTTTTTAAAGCCAGTTTCCTTTTCATTGTTGTCTTTATCGTAACGTTTCGGACGCTATAATCCAACGCCTTCTTTATGCGTGTACAACTCAGTCACGATGAATCTAAGAGCCAAGATCGATTTTTAGTCGAGTTGATTACATTCATTTACGTTCAAGCGTAGAGAAATATGCGTGCATAAAACGATGAAATAAGCAAATCTTCAACACGGCTCTACAAATTTAAATAGTTTTTGATTATTTGAGTATTACAGTGTGCGGCAGGTATTTGAGGACATTTTATGGATTAGTAAAAAAAAACCTTGCTGGACTGATAAATATAATTATATTTGATTACAAACAAGTAAACATGAAATTTATCTATCATTTAATTTTATTCAATAAAACCACCACTAGCATCAATAACTGTCTCTACACGAGGTCGAAATCAGCTGAAAGCTCTGATTAAATGGTCCTTATTTATGTCAGACATTACTCGAACTATTACAGCTTTAAGAGAGTCTTTGGTGTTATGAGGCTAATTATTAACCTCCTTCTCAACAACGCCCCACACATAATAGTCTAGTGGATTGAAATCGGGAGAGTTAGAAGGCCAAATGTTGGGTGTGATGTGGTCGTACAAATGGTCAGCCATCCATTCTTGTTTTTATAGAGCCTTGTGGTATGGAGTCGAGTCTTTCTGGAATACATAAGGCCTGCCGTTGTATATGTTGTCAATCCAGGGCTTGACAACTGTTTCTAGAACCTCCATGTAAACAGCAGCATTTATTCTAAGACCTTGTGGAAAAAAAGTGTGGTGGCATAACATGTCCTTCATTGCTAACAACACCCAATACCATAACCCTTGAAGGAAATTTTGTGCGCATCACTCTTGGCACCTCAGAAGGATCTGAACAAAGACATCTGTCATTTCTTCTGTTAAGTTTTTGATCTTGATCAAAATTTTTCTCATCTGAGAAAAACCAAATCACACCAGCTTCTGAAGGATTTTTAAGTTTGTTTAAAAGCCTTTTGGATCTGTTTAAACAGTTTTCTTTTGTTTTTTCAGACATAAATTGACGACACGTAGGACTTGTATCGGAATGTCTTCATGAACATTCCTTCTGATTGTTTTTTCAGACACATGCAGCTTTTTGGCAGTTGACCTCATTGATTGACCTTGGTTTTCATCAATTGTCTGCTTGACTTCTTGAATAAATTTGGATCTTCTCACTTTATCAGGACGTACAGAATGTCTTTTACGTTTTGATACAGACATT